GGCGGCTCTGGAGGAGGATACGCTGAGGAGAGGCCGGGGAGCCCCCGCCCTGGCCACTGGGGACAGGAGAGGGGCCGTGGACCCGGGCCTAGACTGGGGGCCCAGCCCCCAACATCCAGGCAGCCGCCCGGACACACAGGAGGGGCACGGGGTCGCCTGGGCTCCCTGGGCGGACAGCCTGGTTCTGTCCCTTCGGCCGTGTGACCCGGGCAGGTGACCTCCCGTCTGCTTCCCCGTCGGGTACCACAGGGCGCGGGCGGGCGCTCAGTACTGTTATCTCCGCTCATTACTGTTATCTCCTCTGATTGCATCGCCGGCCGCGCCTTCTCACTGAGGGGCCGGCTCTGCCAAAGGGCACCGCGGGCGGGGTGGCGGGACGGCAGGGGGGGAGGCGCAGGGACCTCAGCGCTGACCTCTGCTCACACCGCCATCCCATGAACCCGCCTGAGGACACCACGGCGACCGAGACAGCCCGGATCCGGCCCCTGACCCGGCCCCGGCCCCTGCCACTGCCCCTGCCCGGCCCCGGCCCCAGCCCCGGCCCCGGCCCAGCAGGCCCTGCTCACAGCGAGAAAGAGCGTGGGGAGGGAGCGGGTCGGCTCTCAGGGAAACGGGGATGAGCGCGCAGACATGGGCGCGGGGTGAGCCTCCGGGCAGCGGGGAAAGGCAGCCGGAGCCGCCGGGGGGACCAGGCCGGGCGGGCGGGTGGGGGGAGGACCGTCGGAGACGGGGGAAGCCGGCCGGCGGGGCCCAGCCCTGAGCGCCCGCCCCGGGGCCGAGAGGTCACGCCCGACCCCGGCCAGGCACAGCCGGGCGTGCGGGCGGCAGCAGGCCGGGCCCTCTCTCACCATGCGTTTCTGTCTCCCCTTCTCCCTTCCCCTCTGACATCAGTGCAGACCCGCTTTAGACACAGAGGCCGAACCCACCTTCAGACAGACAAAGCCGTGCGCTCCCAGGCTCAGGGGCCAGAGGGCAGGCCTGCAGTCGGCCCGGGCGGTGGGCACCCAGCTCCGCCCCCGCTCTGCCTCCTAATTCTCTCCCCGGCACATACCAGCGCGGTCACTGAGCAGCTGACTGCCTGACGCTTCCATTGCCCAACTGCCATGACGGTGAGATACAGTCCCAGAATCCCCCGGGCCTGAAGCAGGGGCGGGGGCGGTGCTGGAGACCCGGCCTCGGCCGCTCCGGCCTCCTGGTCCGGGGCCTGATCCGTGGGCCGTTCTCAGGAGAGAGCCATGGGTTTGCTGCTCTCCTATGTTTCCTTTAAAGAAACTTATGTTTTTATTGATGTCAGAGAGGAAGGGAGAGGGGGAGAGAGGGGCGCCACGAGGCCGAGAATCTCGGACCCGCGCCTCCGCACGCCCCCACGGGGGATGGAGCCCGCAGCCCGAGTGTGAGACCAGGGGCAGGGCGGGGGGGGATCGAACCGACGGGACTGAGACCTCCAGCTCCCTCCCGGGCCTGGGAGTCCGAGAGCTCCAGCCGGACCCCCTGGGACCACAGCTGTGTCACCCCCACCCGCCCATGCCGACCTCTGCCCTGCCTCAGTTTCCCCATCACCGCCGCCTCCCCCTGTTACAGAGCAGCTGTGCCGGAGCCCCAGGAGCCGCCGTGCGCCGGCATTTACACACACACACACACACACACACACACGCACACACACACGCGCGCACACACTCACACATACACACACGCACACACACTCACACACACTCACACACACTCACACATACACACACGCACACACACTCACACACATGCACACTCACACACACGCGCACATGCACACACACGCACACACGCACATACTCTCACTCTCACACACACTCACACTCACACACGCGCGCGCACACACTCACACACACGCACACACACTCACTCACACACACACACTCACACACATGCACACGCACACGCACTCACACACTCAGGCGCACACACACGCACACGCACACGCGCACACGCACACGCATACACACGCTGCTGCCCGTGTCCCCGCCGGCCCCGTCTGACGGTGACGTGGCGCCCCGGCCGGCCACTCCCCCGCGGAGCAGGGCCCGGGGCGGCCGCCTGGGCTCGGGAAGCCGCGGCAGCGAACTCTGCCTTGTCCCGGCCCCGGGAGCCGGAGAAATGCACCCGGAGCCCCTGGGAGGGACGGAGAAGTGATCACACGGGCCCGGGAGGTCAGGGTTCGATCCCCGGGCGGCGGGCCATCCCGGTGGGGCGTGCAGGAGGCAGCCGGTCCGTGGTCCTCTCCTCACGCGTGTTTCTCTCTCCCCCTGCCTCGCTGCAGTCGGCTTGTCTCTAAAACACGTGTGAACGTGTAGAATGCGCCACGGCCTCGGGGTGGCGGTGAGGCCTCTGAGGTGGGGACGGCGAGAGGAAAATGGTCTCTGTGTTCCCGCCTGGGTTTGTTTTCAAAGCAAAGGAGCCCAAAGACATCAAAACAGAAATCAAAGCACAAGCGCCCCATTCACGCCCGCCGGCGGACCTGGCGCCTCTTCCTGAGGAAGCCGCGGCCGGCCTGTCCCGGGCGTCCGGAGCGCCTCACACCACCCGCCCGACCAATCGCCGGGGAGCCACGAGGGTGCCCACGGCTCCCTCCGCTTCCAGCCCGAGTGCCTCCCGGCAGCTGGGCACGGGGCAGCTGGGGAATGAGGCGGGGCCCGGGCGCACACACACACAGAGAACACACATAGAGACACCCATACACACACACACACACACACACAGAACACACATAGAGACACCCATACACACACACACACACAGAGAACACACATAGAGACACCCATACACACACACACACACACAGAGAACACACATAGAGACACCCATACACACACACACAGAGAACACACATAGAGACACCCATACACACACACACAGAGAACACACATAGAGACACCCATACACACACACACACACAGAGAACACACATAGAGACACCCATACACACACACACAGAGAACACACATAGAGACACCCATACACACACACACAGAGAACACACATAGAGACACCCATACACACACACAGAGAGAACACACATAGAGACACTCATACACACACAGAGAGAACACACAAATAGACACCCATACACACACACACACACAGACACCCATACACACAGAGAGAGAAGATATACATAGACACCCATACACACACACAGAGAACACACACACACAGAGAACACACACACACACAGACACCCATACACACACAGAGAGAACACACAAATAGACACCCATACACACACAGAGAGAACACACATAGAGACACCCATACACACACACAGAGAACACACACACACACACAGACACCCATACACACACAGAGAACACACACACAGAGAGACACCCATACACACACACACACACACAGAGAACACACATAGAGACACCCATACACACAGAACACACACACACATCCATACACACACACACACATACACCGAGAACACACACACAGACACGCCACCGGGCGCCAGCCTCCGTGCCCTCAGCCCGGGCCGAGAGCGAGCGCTCACTTTGAACCATGCCGCCGGCGCCGAGGGGAGGCTGCAGTTCGGTAGTCTGAGGGTCCCCATGCGCCCCCCCCCCAGAGGACAAAGCAAAACACAAAACACCCCAAAACTGCAAAACCCACAGCACGCTCCGACACGCAAAACACGCGCAGAGCCCGGGAGGCGCCCGGGGCTCAGCGCCGTCACAGGGATCCCGCGCTGTCAGACCAGGGGACTTCGGACCAGACGTGAAAACCAAACACAGACTACAGCTCGGCTGAGAGACTCAGATCCAAACCGCCTCCCCCAGACCGGAGACCGGGGACCAGAGACCGGAGACTGGAGACGGCTGATTCCGTCCCGCCTGTGGGTCCCAGGGAGGGTGGGCCAGGTCTAAGCAGAGGAGGGCTTCCTCCTTCGCTCGCTCGCTCACTCACTCACTCACTCACTCACTCACTCACTCACTCGTTCTCCAGGCCCCTGTGCTGGGCATGGGGCAGGGGCATGGAGGGGGGTCCCAGCAAGTCTCTGTTCTGACGGCAGCGCCCTAAGGCGGAGCAGGGGAGGGAGAGCGGCCACCGGGCCGGGACACACAGTCCAGCCCCCGCAGTGCTGGCCGGCGGTCGTGGGCAGAGGCAGCTCCGGTGCCCGCCGTGGCCCTGGGGCGACTCCAGACTCATTCAGGGCAGGCGCTGACCGTCGGAGGCCGCTGGCCGGCCCTGGGGGGCGGATTGCGTGACAGGGGCCGCTGTGGGCGCCGGGGACCTGCCTGCCCGCTCAGCGGGGCCTGTGCCCGCCCGCCCGCCCCGCGAGGATCCAGGGAGAAAAGCGGCTTATCCTGCCCGGAGGCAGGGCAGGCAGGGGGAGCGGCTGGCCTCCCAGAGGCCCTGCCCGGAGAGGCACCTGGCACCCACCAGGCCTGGCACCCAGGAGCCCATGGCCTCCTGACCTCCGGGGACCAGGCAGAGGTAGCCGGGTGGAGCAGACGCCCCGCGGCTGTGGGCGCTCCCCTCTCCCCCTCCCCCGGGGCAGCCCCACAGCGCGCCCGCCAGCACCGCCGGGCGGGGCGCCCGAGCGCAAGGTCGGCTCCCTCGTGGTGGGCCCCGGGCCTTTCCGGAGAGCCTCCCGCCAAGCCCCGGGGTGCACCCATGGGTGCTCCCTGCGCGCCCGGCCTCAGCCAGCTGGGGGCGCTGCGGGGAGGGCAGGGCGCAAAGGCCGGGATCCCACCCCCCAGCCTGTCCCCCGCCCCCTGGCCCCCGGGCACCCACCCGCCCCCGGCCCCCGGGCACCCACCCCGCCCCCGGCCCCCGGGCACCCACCCCGCCCCCGGCCCCCGGGCACCCACCCCCGCCCCCGGGCACCCACCCGCCCCCCCGGCCCCCGGGCACCCACCCGCCCCCGGCCCCCGGGCACCCACCCCGCCCCCGGCCCCCGGGCACCCACCCCGCCCCCGGCCCCCGGGCACCCACCCCGCCCCCGGCCCCCGGGCACCCACCTTGAGGACCTGCTGCCGCATGAAGGGCGGCACCGCCACGATCATCACGGCGCCCAGCAGCGCGCACAGCAGCCCGAGGCCGCCCAGCGCCGCGGCCACCCAGCCCGCCCGGGTGCGGCCGCCCATGTCCGCCCGCCACGCGGCTCCGGTCTGCGCCCCGGGCTCCGGTCCGGGCAGCGGGTCCGAGCTCCGGTCCGGGCAGCGGCTCCGGTCTGCGCCCCGGGCACGGGTCCGGGCAGCGGGTCCGGGCTCCGGTCCGGTCACGGGTCCGGGCTCCGGGTCTGGTCTGCGCCCTGGGCTCCGGTCCGGGCAGCGGGTCCGGGCACTGGGTCCGGGCTCCGGTCCGGGCACTGGGTCCGGGCGCAGAGGGCAGAGGCGGCGGCTCGGACCCGGGGCGGCGGGAGGAGCGGCGGCCGGGCAGGTGGCCGCGCTTTAAGCCGCCGGGAGCCGCGCCGCCCCGGCCGGGCAGCGGGTTCGGGGGGCGGGCGGGGGGCGGGCGGGGGGCGGGCGGGGGCGGGCCGGGGCGGGGCGCCGATCGGACGGTCCGAGGGGCGGGGCCGCCCCGCCTCCGCTTCCCTCCGGGAGGCCCCGGGGCTCCGGCGGCCGTTGGGCCGGGCCCGCTCCCTCCGCTTCCTGGTCCCCCTCCCGCCGGGCCCTCCCGGCCTTTCTCCCGCCCGGACCGGCCTCATGCTTCATGTCTTTTGTAAAAAAGGTTTTGTAAAATAATTTTTTAAAAATTTTTTTAAAATATGATTTATCGATTTTTTACAGAGAGGAAGGGAGAGGGATAGAGAGCTAGAAACATTGATGAGAGAGAAACATCGACCAGCTGCCGACTGCACGCCCCCCACTGGGGATGTGCCCGCAACCAAGGTCCATGCCCTTGACCGGAATCGAACCCGGGGCCCTTCAGTCCGCAGGCGACGCTCTATCCACTGAGCCACACCGGTTTCAGCTTAAATAATTCTTTACTGTTGAAAGTATTACATATGTCCTCTTTCCCCCCCATGGACCCCCTGCCGGGATCGAGCGGGCAACCCCTGCAGGTGCCAAGACCTGGAATCAAACCCGGGACCCTTCAGTCCGCAGGCGGAGGCTCTGTCCACTGAGCCACACGGCTGGGGCCTGGTTCACTTTTAGTGAGACTTTCCCGCCTGTGTACCCTCATCTCTGCCCCCTCCCCTACTCTCTCTCTCTCTCTCTCACACACACACACACACACACACACACACAGCCAGCCTGGGACTCCTGCCCCGGGGTCCTGACACCCTGGACTTGGAATTGCACCCCAAGATATCTGCCCGGCTCCTTCCTCCTGGGAGTGGGAGCCACCTTATCAGCAGGGCCTCCTGCCACCCTGAGCCAAAGGGACTCCCGCCCGCCGCCCAGCCGGCCGCCCGCGACCCTATCGCCCGCGCCACCCGGCCGGACCCACGTGCGTCTGTGTTTTGCATTCGGACCTTGGCGCGCGCGCCCCCTCCCAAAGGCAGCGTGCAGCCTGTGGACTAAAGGGTCTCGGGTTCGATTCCGGTCAAGGGCACATGCCTCTAGCTCTACCATGGATCTCTCTCTCTCTCTCTCTCTCTCTCTCTCTCTCTTGTGCTCCGCCCCTTCCACGCTCTAAAAATTAATGGGAGAAATATCCTTGGGTGAAGATTAAGAATAAATAAAATAAAAGCCCTGCTCAATAAAGACAGACAAAAGGCTTGGGAAACTGAGCGCACGGGGAGTCATTACTCAACAAACACCGAGGTCACCCCCAGCTCAGGGACGCACCCTCACCAGGCCGCACACGGCCCCACACGCTAACACACCGCACGGGATTCCAGAGGACGGCCCGCGGCGTCGGCCGGGGGCATTGGCCCGGGGACGGGCTCGTTGACGTGTTCTCCTGGGGGACTGACCCGATCCCCTAGGAGCTGCCCCCGCCCCGCCCCGCCCCACCCCTGCCCCGAGCAAGGACTCGGCTCGAACATCTCGCTCATCGCCGCTGGATTTATCGCGGCCGCCAAGGTCGCAGCGTGCGTGGTGCTTACCCAGGACGCCCAAGGCCGCGCCGAGGGCCGTCATGTCACGCCACGTGTCACCCGACCGGGGAGGCGGGGAGCAGGGGGGCCCTGACCACCTGACCTCCGTGGGGGAGGCACTTCCGACGGGGAGTGTCCAAGGAGGGGCGCCTGGGCCTGACGCAGAGAGAGGCCACGGGGAGGAGGCAGGGCCAGGGTGCGGGAGGCCGGGAGGGGAGTGACGGGACGGGGTGCTCAGCGCCGAGGCCACAGAGGCCACCAGAGCCACATCCTCCAGGCTCTTCCTCGCCCCGCAACGCGTGGGGAGAGAAGGGGAGCGGAAGCGGCAGGGATGGCGCCCCCCGCACCAGGAGGGTGGGTGGGTTCACCGGGCCCCACGCGGAGCAGGGAGCCCCCTGCAGTGGAGTCCTCGCTCCCTGCTGGCCGCCCCCCATCTTGGGAGTCACCCTCCCCATCCTGGGAGTCACCCCCATCCCGGGAGTCACCCCCCCATCCTAGGAATCACCCCCCCATCCTAGGAATCACCCCCCATCCCGGGAGTCACCCCCATCCCGGGAGTCACCCCCATCCCGGGAGTCACCCCCATCCCGGGAGTCACCCCCCCATCCTAGGAATCACCCCCCATCCCGGGAGTCACCCCCATCCCGGGAGTCACCCCCATCCCGGGAGTCACCCCCGCGGGCAGCCACCCAGGTCCCCCGTGGAGTTAGTGGAATTAGGCTCCGTCCCAGAGGCGTCACCAGCTGGTGGGGGCGGGCCTGGCCGAGGTCCCTGGGCCCCAGAGCCGCCACCCCTGGGTCTCCGGGGAGAAGGAAGGAGGGAGGAAGGGGAAGTGAGCAGGAGGAAGCCGGCGGGAGGGGAGGTGGACGGGCGCCCGGGACAGGCCACGGGGAAGAGGAAGCATCGCCTGTGGCCATAGCCGGCCCCGGCCCCGGGCAAGGACGGAGCGGGCGCTCAGGTCCCCTCGCTGCGTGGCCCTGGCCGCCCGAGCACCGGAGCCGGTGAGGGCCAGGCGGGGAGTGGACGCGGGCAGCGCCCAGCCGGCGGGTCTGACCTGTCTGCGGAGAGGCGGGCTCGGCGGGACACACACCCTGGCCGGGGAGCCGTCTGACCGGGCGGCCGCTCGGCGGGCGCTGCGGGGCCCGGCCCAGGCTAAGGGGCCGAGGGGCCGAGACGCAGGAGGAACGCGGGTCCTCATACTCTCCCGTGTTTGGATCGGTGACACGTCGGGATCGGACACGGCGGGCAAAACAAAACACAGGATTAAAACTGATTTTGCTGGTTTCTCCTTTCCTTTTTAAAATCAGCCACTAATTGTGTGTGTGTGTGTGTGTGTGTGTGTTTTCATATTTGTGTTGATTTCAGAGAGGGAGGGAGAGAGAAATATCTATGATGAGAGATAATCACGGACAGGCTGCCTCCTGCACACCCCCTGCTGGGGATGGAGCCTGCAACCAGGACCCGTGCCCTGACCGGGAATCGAACCCTGGCCTCCTGGGTCACACCGGCCGGGCAGGAGGACTCCACTTAAGCGGGGATGGGTGGGGAGGGCCTCAGTGAGAAGAAGGCTTCTGAAGGCCTTGGCCATTGTGGCTCAGTGGTTAGAGCGGCAGCCCTCACACCAAAGGGTTGAGGGTTTGATTCCCGGTCAAGGGCAGGTACCGGGGTTGCAGGTTCACTCACATTGATGTTTTTGTTTTTGTTCTCTCTCTTCCTGTACCTCCATAAAAATTAAAAAAAAATCAGTGGGAAAAATATCCCCAGATGAGGTTTAACAATAAGAACAAAGACCCAGAGGAAGTGCAGGACGGAGCCCAGCGGAAACCTGGGAAGAGCGTTCCATGGCCGTGCAAAGGCCCTGGGGCAGCACGGCCTGAGCGCCTCTCTAAGGGGCCGGCTCCTCCCGCGGGGGCCGTGGCTTCCCGTCCGCAGGTGGAAATGCCCTCCCATCCGGTGGCCATCGCTGAGGCCTCCGCAGCTGCCCCACCCCACCCCGCCTCCTCCCCACCCGGGAGCCCCTGCCGTCCGGGCCCCGGGAGCCATCGCCATGGCCCTGCGTCTCTCGCCTCCTCTTGTCTGGGCGCTGGCAGCTGAGGCTCACCTTTGCTCCCAGCTTTCGGGACTTGAGACATCGCCTCTGTCAGGAGCTAAGCCTCCAACCAACACAGCGGCTCCCACTCCGGGACAAAGGTGCAGGCGCGGCCTGGCCCACGCGTGAGCAGCAGCTGCTCCGCTCCGCCCGCCCCTCAGCACACCGGCCTGGCGCCCAGGGCCCCGGGCTCTGCGGCACCTCCTCGTCATTCATGCACTCATTCACTCATTCGTTCATTCACTCGCTCCTGCAGCAGAGACTCTGTGCCAGGCCCACTGTGTGCTGGGGACAGGCCGTAGCGTCGTGAGCAACACAGACAGACTCCCAAGGTCCTGGCCTTCCATATATATATATACCCGTGTTTTCCCGAAAATAAGACCTAGCGCATGGAAAGATAAGACATCCCCTGAAAATAAGACCTAGCGCAACTTTGGGAGAAAAAATTAATATAAGACACTCTTATTTTCGGAAAACAAGATATATATAGATATAGATATAGATATAGATATAGATATAGATATATTATTGATTGCAGAGAGGAAGGGAGAGGGAGAGAGAAACATCCATGATGAGAGAGGATCAGGGACCGGCTGCCTCCTGCACCCCCCACACGGGGGATGGCGCCCGAACCCGGGCCTGTGCCCCGACCGGGAGTCGAACCCTGACCTCCTGGTTTATAGGCCAACACTCAACCCCTGAGCCACACTGGCCCGGGCAGGCCAGGCCTCGCTGTGTGAGTGGAGGGCGGGATTTGGAAACGCACTGCCACGGGAGTGCTCCAGGAGGAGTGGAGCAATCCGCAGAGAAACACGGGGGTGAAGCCTGAGGGTGCGGCCGGGGGAGGGCGCTCCTGGCAGGGTGACGAGTCAGGGCAAAGGCCCGCCGCCCTGGGGCCAGACGGCAGCTGGTCACGGAGCCGACACCCAGGGATACCCCGTGGGGACCCTCAGACACACGCCACCGGGCGATGCCTCTTGTCCCTACAGCACCTTGTTGTTTTTTTTAAT